TCCACCACACCCCCGCCCCCACCCCCGGCTTGAATGACATGATAGCACAGCCCATGTGAAACGTGCTTAGTCTAAGGTAGAGGAGAGAATGACATATGTCAACTTCAATCTGGCATATGTTAAAAAAAGAAACGGGTGAGAAAAGAACCCCCAGTCCTCAGAGTTCTTTTTTGAACCCTGTTAAAGTCCTGGTCTCCACACCATCCTTGGGCAAGGAGCTCCACAGAGGGAGCCACAGAAACAAGTGTGACAAAGAGTGACTAAAGCCCCTCCTAGATCTGCTCAGAGATCCTTGAGAAAATCGCTGCTCCCCCCAAAACTGTGTAAGCCAGCACGGGGGGTCTGAGCTGTGTCCTATCAATCCCCCATGCAAAGGACCTTTACAAATGCATTATCCGAAACTCTTCCAAATAAAGTCACTTTCCCATCCTCTAGTCCTTCCATCTGAGGATCTCAGAGCACTTTCCAGACACTGAATTAATTCCCCACCCTGGGAGACAGAGAAGTGCTATCTCCACGTTAGAGATGGGGAGACTGAGGCACAGAGCTCTTAAGAGATGTTCTCGAGATCACTTTTGGCAGAGTTGAGAAAAGATCACCGGTGTCCTGACGTCTCGGGCCTGTTCTGTTACAACTCCAAGAGCGAAGAAGCATCAGGCAGCTTAAGCTGCAGGACATGAGTGAGGTGCCGAGAACGTTTAGGAAACATTAGCAACTTTTCTGACCGTGTCGTCCTCCGAACGGCCTGCACGATGATGCAGAAGAATAGCCAGCTCGTAGGCACGTCCACAAGGACTCACCCACGCAGCAGGCAGAAGAAGCAGCACAGAGAGTGCAATCGCAACAGCTCGGTTAGGGCTCTGCACCGGCAGTGCTGGTAATATATGCAAACGCACACTCCGAAGCTCCGAGTATATCCATCTTAATGAAGTTACAGTTAATTTGCCGGGCTCCATTTTGCACAAATAATGAAACTCTGAAGGCAGCACAAATAACATTCCGATAAAAATTACATACTAAGTCTCCGGAAAAGTCCTGGGGATTAGGAGAACGTGGTCAGGTGGTTACAGCCAATGCCTGCGGAGTCAGGACTTAAGGAGTTCTGCTCTTCAGACTTGTTGTGTGACTATAGCAAGTCCCTTCCCTGCTCGGTGCATGAGTTTCCTTGTCTGTATCACAAGGATAATAATACTTAAGCAGTGAACTCTTTGGAGTTGCTGTTTTGTTGTGTCTGCCCAGTGCAGACCAGTCTTGGTCCAGGAGTAGGTCTTCTAGGGGCTATCACACTACAAATAACAACAACTTATGTTCATGCAGAACCTTTTATCCGAAAGCTTCCCAAAGTGCTACCTATATAACCCACCGGGGTGCGTGGTACCTGGTACCCATCTGTAGAGAATAAGAGCCCTTATAGCCCCTCACACCGGGGGCCTAGATGTGAGCTCAAACAGGAGCAGCTCATGCTCTTAGCTCTGGGATCAGACGCCCTGATGCGTTGCCCAGTGGGAGGCTGTTCCACATGCATCAGTGAAATGCAGCCACCCCTGGCGGGAAGGTGGTAGCTGATCAGTTTGTTGTAGAGTGTCCAGGGAGAGGACGTCAGGCCAAGAATATCCCACCAATGCTGTTAGAAAAATTCTCCTGTGATCTTTAACGTCCACAACACAGCTCAGATGTTGAGGCCTAGAAGCACCATCGTCAACTCCCTTGGATGAATGAGTCAGTGCTGCCAGGATTTCAACCGACTGCTCCAGAGAATAGACTCGGAATGATCAGATCTCATTACCAATATACCTGGTGCTGAGACAACTAAGCCATCCCCTTCGGCTCTGTCACGCTTCCCTTTGTGGTGGACCTCCCGCCTAGGGTGCCTCGATGCCCCAATTTTATAGGGACAGTTCCAATAATCAAGGCTTTGCTTCCCATAGGTGTCTGTTGTCTCCCTACCCCATCCCAGTTTTATGTGTGCTCTGGTCACCCAACTTCCCGCCCACGATGTGTGAGTCAGACACCATCTCGCTCTGAATTCCAAGGGTTGCCTTTGGAGTGACTCACTGATGCTGTATGGATGGAAGAGCCCACAGCATATAACTGGCTGGCTGGCCACCCCCAAGGCGGCGGCCTATGCAGCCACTGTAAATGCTTTCGGCCAGGATTGGGCAGCAGTCTCCTTGTCGGGGAGGAGGGGAGGCCCTGCCCAGCCACTGTAAATGCTTTCGGCCAGGATTGGGCAGCAGTCTCCTTGTCGGGGAGGAGGGGAGCAACCTGCAGCCACGAAATGAACTGCAGGAGCAAATCTGAGCATTCGCCTTCCCAGCCAATCCACCTTGCCCCTGCCACTCAACTCTGGGTGCAAACTGAGCCTACAGAAGAGAGTTTGTGCTTTTGAGCAATTCCCCAGCCACTGTAAATGCTTTCGGCCAGGATTGGGCAGCAGTCTCCTTGTCGGGGAGGAGGGGAGCAACCTGCAGCCACGAAATGAACTGCAGGAGCAAATCTGAGCATTCGCCTTCCCAGCCAATCCACCTTGCCCCTGCCACTCAACTCTGGGTGCAAACTGAGCCTACAGAAGAGAGTTTGTGCTTTTGAGCAATTCAGCTCTTCCGCGCTCATCTCATCTAACAGCTCTGGGTACCGTGGCTCATTTTGTCGCTCAGCTTATGTATGGGGGTCAGTTTAGGACATTCCAGAGTTGGGTCGGAGTCATGAATTTTAGATCCGGATCTGAATTTGCCAAGGTCAGTGGGGTTGGTTAGACTGTCACACCTCACGTTCTGGGTCAGATTCGTCTCTGTTTGATACATCTCTTGCGGGCTCCGCTTTTCCTGAGGGCACAATCACCGGCAGATCTATAATCCAGTCATGGGCAACCTGAGCTAGTGCGTGGTCTGCATGAATGGCCCTCCTTCATCTCAGTGGACTGCAAGATGGTCCTAACCAAGATGGTTTCCCAGAGTAGGGTAGTTTTGCTCTCTGTGCTTGTGTGCCTAGAATTTGCGGGGTGTGCCGATTGAATTGTAGCAGGGCTTTGATTAGATGCAGAGGAAGCGCACGGCTCTTCCAGTCCAATATTTGTGTAATCAGCAGGCAGCTCACTTCACATGCCTTGGCTTTACATGAGTGTCTAGTACTACCGATAGGAAAAAACCTATGCAGGCAGAAAGCAGGGGAATCTGGTAGCCTGGGCAACAGTAAACCAAATGTCTTGTGGGCCATACACAGAACCCTCATGGGCCACATGCAGCCATCTGGCTGCAGGTTGCCACCTCTACTATAATCTCTAATGCTGATGTGCCCAGAAGCTCCCCTCCTGGCTGGCCAGCTCAAAGCTGACTCTGAGTTGCTCCTGTCCTTTAAAACCACCTGTGCTGTCCCTAGACACGCACGACATCATCGACGCAGAGGTGACGTGCAAGGCGGCACAGATGGAAGTTTCCATCTCCAAATGCAAGCTCTTTCAACTTGGCTTTGAGAGAGAAGGCGTGCGCGTGAATGACCGTCACTGCCCCGGCATCGAAGGGGAAGACTTCATCTCTTTCCAGATCAACAACACCAAGGGGAACTGCGGAAACCTTGTGCAGGTGAGACATGCCGGGAGAGGAGCCGGGGGAGACAGCTCATGTTTAATGGCGCATTGTTACAAAGCAAATGCTGCTAGGGTGATACATGGAAAAACATGCCACAGAGCTGAACCGAAAGCAAAGAAAGGAGAGAGAGAAACGGGCATTCCTTTTAGTGGCAGGTTTATTGTTTGAGCTCACATGTCACAATGCCTTAATAATGCTTCAGTGCTTCATTAAATTACATTAGGGGATGATCACATACACACTCTTCACGGGGTGGGTTATTTCTTTCTATATTTGGGTTCTAATAGACAGCTCTAAACACGTGTGTGTGTGCACGGTAGAAGATACAAGGTGTTAGCACTTGCGTTCTGTCCAAATTCCAGCCTGGGTGCTTCCATTTCGCCTGCTTAATATTTCACTGGGACATGGTATTTGTGAGGACTGTTAAACAGATGATGAGCTGTGCCCAGTGGTGGTTGCATCTTAGTGGTGCGTGTAGTGTGCATGTGTTGGGTTGGGATCCATTATGATGAATAGTGCTGTTATAAATGTAACTGTAGGCAGAATCTTTTTCGGTCTAGCAGCAAGATACAAACTGATTTATCATTGTGATTTATAATCTAGTACCTCAGTGTCCACAAAATCCAGGCAGGAATCCAGGCCCCATTGTACCAAGCGCGGCACCAATATAAAATAAAAAGCTGACTTTGCCTCTGAAACAGTTCACAATCAGTCTGCACATTATTTTTACATAATGACTTAGATATGCTGCTTTCTGAGCTGTGAACTAAAAAAGAATAATGTTTGTTTCTTTTTCTCCTGCACAGTCCAATGGCACTCACATCGTGTATAAAAACACTGTGTGGATTGAAAGTGCAAATAACACTGGAAACATAATCACCCGGGACAGAACTATCAATGTGGAATTCTCGTGCGCGTATGAGCTTGATATCAAAATTTCTCTGGATTCGGTAGTGAGGCCAATGCTTAGGTAAGACTGACTTTTGTGTGTGTGTGTGTGTGTGTGTGTGTGTGTGTGTGTGTGAGAGAGAGAGAGAGAGAGAGCGAGAAAAAGAAAAAAGCAGGCAGGCATGATAGCAGGGAGGCTGAAGTCTCCTCTATTTACCTGGAGAAGACAGCTCGCTTAATTTTAGTAATGAGTGTAACTAACCACAACAGCTAACAAACGAGGGTCCCGATGGAATCTTTATCACTTCATGTCTTTAAATCAGGAGTGGCCTTTTTTTTCCCAAAAAGTGTGTTTGAGCTCAACCAAAAGATATGGGTCTGATGCGGGAATTCCTGGGTGAAATTCCTTTGCCTCTGTTGTAAAGGAGGTCAAACGGATGATTATTACAGGAACAGTATCGGGCCACGGGAGGGCTAGTTTCTCTCATGCTGTTCCGCCAGTGTATCTCAACCTTGGCCTATTGGGGGCACTCTTAGGGAATCTGCATGGCCCATTCAGCCTTTGGACTCGGTTATATGCCTGTCAGTCTATGATAATTATGGGAGCAGTTGTACGATTGAGGGCTTCAAACTGGTGCCACATCAGCCACCAAACATCCATTGGGCAGTAACAATTTTCAGGTTTGCAGTATTCAGTGGTATAAATGTCGACATGAAAAGCTCCATCTCCTAGTCCCTCTCCCTTAGGCCCTATCCGTTCTCTTCCCCCTTTGTAGAGAATCGTCTTTCTGCTGTTTTCTCATGAGCTTTGTTTCTCTCCTTCAGTGTGATTAACTTGACAGTCCCCACACAAGAAGGCAGTTTCATAACCAAGATGGCCTTGTACAAGAACTCATCCTATAAGCACCCTTACCGGCAGGGTGAAGTGGTTCTAACCACCCGGGACGTGCTTTATGTCGGGGTCTTCGTTGTTGGGGCAGATTCTACCCACCTCATCCTAACGCTGAACAAATGTTATGCAACCCCTTCTCGGGACAGCAATGACAAACTCAGATACTTCATCATTGAAGGAGGGTCAGTGACATCTGGCAAGATTTTTCTCTTGGTTTGGCTTTTGTTTGGGGATTTACAAATCATTGGCTGGTGTACAACCCCATATGATCTGAACCTATGAACATTACAGGAGGAATATTTCTTCCTCTGGTGCATGCACTAAGGTCTGCTGCCAATACCAAAAAAGAAGGATCACTGATTTGTGCATCTGTGGCTATTCCTAACATCCCAAGGAAAAAGCCAGAGGTGCTCATGTGTTACGCCTACGTGCACACTGTAAGAACCCAAAAGCAGGCTGCAGTTGGCTGTCTATTTTAAGAGGGATAAAGGATCTTTCGGAAAAGGCTTTATTTTCCGAAAGATTCGCGTCTAGACTGGCGCTTTTTTCCGGCAAAGCTCCGTGCTGAAAAAAAGCGGCAGCCATTTTTATGCTAATAAAGCGGGGGAGATTTAAATCCCCGCTTCATTAGCAATTGCGATACGTCTAATTTGCACCCCTTTTACGAAAAAGGGATGCAATCTAGCAAAATAGCCCAGATGTAGAAATAGATATAGAAAAGGGAAGGGCTTAAATGTTCAAATGCTCCCCGAGTTTAGGGCCCACCCAAACAGGGCACAATTTTCAGATAGTTTTGAGCTCACACAGCTTCTGCTGAAGTTCCTGGAGCATGTGAGATCTACGCCTTTAAAAATTAAGCCCTGGGTGTTTCAGACTGAGCATGTGAAGTCAGTGGGCACTTCTGTAGCACCAGGACAGGGTCAGGGCTGAGAACAGAACACATTGTGCATTTGCTTCTGACATTAAATCCTGGTATGACAGGGGCGCATCTGGTAACCTCTCAGGATTTCTGGGAGTGTCATGATCTGTAATTAATTACTGGTGTAAAGACTCTGAGATCCTTGCATGGCAGGAGCAGTAGAATTTGGAAGTCTATTAATAATCAGAATAGCTTGACAATGCATCAGTTTACTTACATCTCTGCAGCAAGCAGTTAAGGGGAAATGTTTTTTTAATAAGTCATGGCCTCACGCTACCAAACTGGGGCTTGGATTCTGAACACTCCACGGTTGAGAGAGCTCATAAGGGGAGAACAGTCCAAGCTCTTCTCCCCCAGAGTTCAAGTAACAGCTAGTGAACAGAATGATTTAGTTTCTCTGTAGCCATAACCCACAAGCACTGGGGATCTGTAGAATCTTTGAGAATTTCCTGAACCCAGCTGAGACACCGTTTGTTTGTTTTTTCTTGTAGCTGCCAAAATATTAAGGATAATACCATTGGCATTGAGGAGAATGGGGTGTCCCTGACTTGTCGCTTTCACGTCACCGTCTTCAAGTTCATCGGGGATTACGACGAGGTTCATCTCCACTGCGCCGTCTCCCTTTGTGACTCAGAAAAATACTCCTGCAAAATAGTACGTGTGTGCAGGCCGGGAGGGTGTTCCTTGCTAGACTCATTCCTCCAAGGCTGCTGTGTGGTAGGAGAACAACGCCCAATAGAGCTACGTAACATTCCTCTGTTCTCCACCCAGTGGCAGCCCGTCCATAGGCACAAACTAGGCAGTTGCCCGGGGCTCCAAATTAAACGGCCATTGAGGGGTTTGGAGGTGGGGGCGCCGATCGCGCATTTCGCCTAGGGTGCCAGTTGCCGGCAGCTCATCTAGGGCCGCTCCTGTCTCCACACACATCCTTCTAGAACCTGGCACACAGATTGCCCCAGTGCATGGACTCCCACCCAGTAGAACAAGTTCAGGTCAAAAGTCTGGGGGGGAAGAAGGCCAGAATTTTCCCTTATCGATGCTCATCCAACACCACTACAGCCTCGGTGGGGGCCTTGCAATAGCTCTCCTCAAAAAAGATATTTTGGCCTTGGAAAGGGTTCAGAAAAGGGCAACTAAAATGATTTGGGGTTTGGAACGGGTCCCATATGAGGAGAGGTTAAAGCGACTGGGACTTTTCAGTTTAGAAAAGAGGAGACTGAGGGGGGAGATGATAGAGGTCTATAAAATCATGAGTGGTGTGGAGAGGGCCGATAAAGAAAAGTTATTTATTAGTTCCCATAATAGAAGAACTAGAGGACACCAAATGAAATTAACGGGTAGCAGGTTTAAAACTAATAAAAGGAAGTTCTTCTTCACACAGCGTGTAGTCAACCTGTGGAACTCCTTGCCAGAGGAGGCTGTGAAGGCCAGGACTATAATAGAGTTTAAAGAGAAGCTGGATAAATTCATGGAGGTTAGGTCCATAAAAGGCTATTAGCCAGGGGATAAAACGGTGTCCTTGGCCTCTGTTTGTCAGAGGCTGGAGAGGGATGGCAGGAGACAAATCGCTTGATCATTGTCTTCGGTCCACCCTCTCTGGGGTACCTGGTGCTGGCCACTGTCAGTAGACAGGATACTGAGCTAGATGGACCCTTGGTCTGACCCAGTACGGCCGTTCTTATGTTCTTATGTTCTCTGAATGGGAGCATCCAACACCACTACAGCCTCAGTGGGGGCCTTGCAATAGCTCTGAATGGGAGCAGGGTTTGAGATTAGAGGCTAGTGCACCATAATCACAAAAGCTTTGCCGTAACCGCCGCGTGCGCTTGTTTTTGTTCAGAACTGCCCCCAGAATTCCAGGATGGCCGCTGAGTATACCAAAGAGCCCAAGGAGCAGATCATCTCGGTAGGGCCCATCCGGAGAAAGCGTAAGTGAGCATCGCTAAGAACGCGGAGAAAAACTTGCCCTCCTGCAGAAGCTAGTCTGGACCTTTGACTATTAAACGGAGAAGCTCAAGCTAAATCATAAAGATACAATAAAAAGGCCCTTCTCTGGTGTTCGTAACCTCATCCGAATGTATTCAGATAGGAAGTATCTGATTTTCACTGTCCAGTTTCCACCATTTGCTTTTCCTGTTTTGTTATATTTTATGTAGCAGGGCACTAACGCTGAGTTGGTCAGTTTCACTTCGGTTCATGGTCTGGTTCACTTTTTTGGTTCTTCTGAGCTACCCCCACTTTTTAGTCTGTGCATGAGGGAAAGCCTCAAGGAGCCACTTACTCTCCCCAAACCCCTCTCTGAGCATCCGTCCTACGCCCATTACCACCTGTTCTGTCTGTCCATCCATCCTTCCCCTTCTCTTTCTCCTAGGTATGGCTATTATCCTGGACCCAGCTTCTCAAAAGCAGCCACCAGTTCCAGGCATCCCCGTCACTGGATGCCCCCTAGAGATGCTCCCATTACTAGAAATGCTGAGCATACCTTGCCAGCCCCCAGGGAGGTGATGTTTAGGGGAGTGACTCTTCGCCTGTGTAGTCCACGGCTCCCTGAGAGCTCTAGAACAGCGTTTCTCAAACTTTTTTTTTATAAAGTACCCCTTTTTCAAGAAAAAAAATTATAAATACCCCTCCAGCACCTACAGTTTTCAGACACACACTTTTTTTCCCCCACCATTGCAACACATTTGTTTAAACAACTTAATCGTAGCCGGGCGGGCAAAGAAATTGTTGGGTGTAAAAAGTACAAAAATAATAACGCGCTGTAAAACGTAACACACACATTATTTTCTCCAAATTTCAGTTGTGTTGACGTACCCCCCAGACTTCTCTCCAGTACCCCTGAGGGTACTCGTACCACAGGTTGAGAAACACTGCTCTAGAACACGTCTAAAGTGTCCAAAGGAGTCCACACTCCCATTCCAAAATTTTTAGGGGACAGAAAATGAACAAAGGTTGAGAGAGGCTCTTGCAGGGAATAGCTGCCTCGTTTGTTTTCCCGTTCATCGCAATTCTCTTCCACCACAACCGTCTTCTGTTCCCCCGGGTCTTTTTCGCCACCTTCTCTCCACTTCCTCATGATCCTCACCAGCAAGAGGTTCATCTTTCACCCTCTCCTCAAGCTCCACCTCTCTGTGTTAGTCTGGAGGAAGAATTGATTGATGAGTAGCCCATGGCCAATCAAGACTGCACTAGCTTATGCTTTGAGGGCTTGGCTTGATGTGTTGACCTCAGATTAATGCACTTGGAGTCCATGATTTTGCTATTGGTTTAAGTGGGAGCAGGATCTCCGGTGCTAAGTGATGTGCAGAGCCCTCCAAAGAATCGGCGTGGGTGAGTCTGACAAAGCCCCCATACTCTTCAGTGGCAGGTTACACCTTCGAGCTGGATGTAAATGCAGAAGGGCGGAATGATTTAATCAAGGAAATGCTCTCAGGGTTATTTGTAGCTATCAAGCTTTGCTCTGCCCTTTTCCGTACAACTGCCACAGCTGCTCTTAGCTGACCGCCCGACCTCTCCTCTTCCAGGGCTAGACTGGTGTGAGGATAACGGAGGCTGCGAGCAGATCTGCACAAGCAGGGTTGATGGGCCCTTGTGCAGCTGTGTCACCGGGACATTGCAAGAAGATGGCAAGAGCTGCAGAGGTGACTATGTCAAGGGCTGCCTTCGGGAGGCTGGAAATCGGCCTGGGTAGGGGGAACCAGAAAAGCACTGTGATGCAGAGGAAAAGTGATTCTTCCTTCAAATCCGTCTGGGAGAACACGAGAAAAATAGGCCTGTCCCTAAGACACACAACTCAAAACTAGACCCAGCACCAGGGTTTGGGCCCATCTGCAAAATTAAGAGAGATGAGTGAGGAATGAGATTGAAGGGAACGTCTGGAAAAAAGAAACGGACATAAGAGCCCACCAAAATGAATCAAGAAGTGTGTCAAAGTGATTATTCCACTTTATTCGGCACTGGTGGGGCCACAGCTGGAGTATCTGCTACTGAAAGGATGTAGACGCATTGGGGAGGGTCCAGCGGAGGACAACCAAAACGATTGGGGGGCTGGAGCACCTGACCTACGAGGAGAGGCTGAGGGACTTGGGTCTATTTAGTCTGCAGAGGAGAAGAGTGAGGGGGGATTTAAGAGCAGCCTTCAGCTTCCTGAAGGGAGGTTCCAAAGAGGAAGGAGAGAGGCTGTTCTCAGTGCTGGCAGGTGGCAGAACAAGGAGCAATGGGCTCAAGTTGCAGTGGGGGAGGTCCAGGTTGGATATTAGGAAAAACTATTTCCCTAGGAGGATGGTGAAGCACTGGGCTGGGTTCCCTAGGGAGGGGGTGGAATCTCCATCCCTAGAGATTTTGAAGTCCCAGCTCGACAAAGCCCAGCTGGGAGGGCTGAGTTGGGGTTGGGTTTGGTCCTGCCTTGGGCAGGGGGCTAGACTCGATGACTCCTAAGGGCTCTTCCAGCCCTGGGATTCTCTGATTCACAGAACATGAAAGGAATGAAAGAGGGGGAGGAAGCACTGGCATCCAGCAGCTAGAACAGGGAGAGGGGTAGTGAGAAGTCACAGCTCCTGGAATCTGTTCCAT